TTCCCTCAACAATTTGTTGTGCACCTTGAAGATAAACAAATCATTTAAGGGAGCGCAGTGGAAATCACTACAGACAGTCCGCTGAGTAACATTTTTTAGTAAGCAATGATTACTTCCTAGACGTAGTCAGTCTGTCAGTATGCGCAGATGTTTTGAGACTTTACTCAAAGTGAAACTACTTTCATCATCAAAACATCCAATGAATTAGGAGAAAAATGCTGTATGAATATACACTATACAGTACTAAAACTGTCTAAATGTGTAACACAGTCTCACATTCCTAATAGCTAAGACTGTATTCTGTTTAGTATACTGATACTACAACTACTTCAAGAGATCCACAGCCATCAGAGGCCTTTGAGTGAGCTTGTGCTAATTCCATTGCTACAATCCGGAAACTTGTTACTGAAACACCTACTCAAAAGCAGCAAATTACAGCTGGAGAATCCAGAAGGGAAAATGAAGTTGGAAACATGGCTATATATACACATTCCATTGCCATGATTGCAATTTGAACAAAAGACGCATTATCTCAAAGGAATAAAGGGACCTCTGTATAAAATCAATGGGATTCATGTGTTTTTGATCAACATAAGAGAATCATCATATTGCCCCTTCAAAGATATCAAGCTTCCAGATTTAGTTCAACGCATCTGTTTCAACTTCTTTCAAGCATCATTTCCTTCATCGCCAACCAACGATCATATTACTAGATGATTTACGAAGCAAGAGCCTGTAAGAGAAGCAACTGAGTCGAATGTGCATGGCATATCATTAGCACATACTTCAGTGGATGAAAATGCAAGTGGGTGATTTGAATATAATTAGGACCTTGTTATGACCCTACTTAAAACACTACATAGTATTCTGTTCCTAACAAGAGCCACATTGATGATGAAGATGTGGCTAGCAATAAGAATGCTTGCCGTGAATGACCAGCGGTGTCACTATGAGTGTGTGACACAAAAAAGGGCATTGGCATGAGGGATGCATTGCAGAGTTTGTGACTCACAAGCTGAGCTTACATGTCGAGGCACTCACAGTTCTGAAACCTGCATTCCAGCACACACACACACACAAACATATTTTCCATGAGGAAATCCCGCTGCAAGCTACCATGCACTAAAGCTAATATCCAACTGCGAGGCACAAATCAAAATTTTAAAGGAATACGCCAACGTTTTTCAAACTCGTCACTATCCGCTGCATTTGTAGCACACAGCTACAAATTACCACAGACAATCATTTCGACATATTTCCCTGTACAAGAATGGAAAAAGACTTTGGCTCAAAACAGATTTATAACAGAGGTCAATTGGCAGATGCTTCAACGCCTGCTCATTGTCTATTATAAGCATGTTCTGTCAACCTTTTTTAAAAGCTACACAATGTAAGTTTTGGGAATTTAGAGACCCCTCTGGTGAAAATGTGTAATTGCACACAATGTCCCAAAGAACAAATTTATAACATTGGTTGTACCTTGGACCCCTTCCCGAGCGGATAAATCTGATTGCGAGCGAGTTGAAAGAGTATTCCAAGAGAATTCAGGAAAAACTTGGTAAAAGACACATCTACTGAGGATGAAGGTGAACTATATGTTACAGTAATTATATCAGTACAATGTTAATTTTGTAGACCTAAACATTGAGCTGGATCTTCTTTTTGAGACTTTGTGTATTGATGTTAATGCATAAAGACGTATGACACAGTCTGAAAAACTCTCACGAAATCTGACCCCACACCTCTAACTTTTAAATTATTATTTCAGACTTTACAGGGTGACTCTCAGCGGTGCACAGCCACCATATTTTAGTGTGCTTCTGACCCAGAAACGCTGCTCCTTTCGATTTTTTACCAAATCTTACAGTGCAGCTTTAAGTATAGGGAAATACCGCATGTAGGAACATCCTTTAACAGCAATAACCTGACAAGGTGCTCAGACCTAGGCCTAAATTTTGATAGAACGATGCTGATAATGAACATCAGAACAAAAGAGGTGTGTTTACATAACCCCCTCTGGCTGGCCCTAAGCAGAGCAGCATTGGTCAACAGCTGCCAGCCCTATGGTTTTCATTCTTCTAACTAGCATTCCCTGTAGACCCATCTGCCATGGCCACCATTATTTCCACTCACTGACACATGGGACAGTGAGACTGGCCTGTGCTCTGCTGCCTGTGCGTGCTGTATGCACCAGCAGGCCGCAACCAACACACATGCTTCCTGCCCCCCACGCTCTGTTCCTACTGAGCCATGACTTTCACTGATTCCTATCCGGCCTGTGCTTGTCCAGACACCCCCAGACACAGTGTTCTGTAATTTGGCCTCCGTGCTGTCTGAAGAGATTGGGCCAGCACGGCTCATGTGTGGGATGGGTGAGTGGGGATGCAGGGTGTGCTCTGGGAGAATACAGGAGAATGTGATTCTCACAGCTGGCCATAGATCATAAGGCCCGCTGTGCCCTGTGAAGTAAGATCCCACTGTTTGTATTGGCAGAGCGCTCGTAGTCCTCTGGACATGACTAACCCGTAGTGGGGACCAGCTTATCCTGGAATTTATTTCCTTTCAGAGAACAGGAAGAAAGCTGAGATTCGCCCAAATGCACCATTGTGCAACTGTCCTTTTCTGGGAACATCCATGAGTGAACCTCACTCATGCTCTGTCTTAGGCACATTGAGAAGAGTGAGTAAGTATTTGTGTGGCTACGATAAATGGTAAGTAAATCATAAAGAGTAAGACTCAAGGGGAGCTGAATCGCTACAGCGTTTGAAACAAGTAGGTGTGGACACTGTCTGGGGACTGGTCTTTCTTGTGTTTCCATTGGCATTAACATGAGGTCTGAAATTTAAAACAGGACAGATCTGCCTGTGATTTACACTACGCCCCAGCTCCAGAGCTGCTACACATCCACACAACACACACAATGATTTCCTACGAGCGTGACTGTCAGGGGAGTTTTGTGTTCATAAAACAGAAGAGGCAAACTTTCAGTAACTCTTTTCCTGTACTGCATATAATCAAAAACCAAACTCACTTAGCATTGCTATGAATATTTCTGGATTACGTAAGCTGAATCACATTTTATTCAGCTTGACCAGCCTGAACACATGCAAAATATCATTTTGTTTTAATTTTCTTAGATACAATCCATATCTCGATTGCAGTAACGACCATATCACAACCTACTGTGGGTTCAGTGATGATGTAACTACAGCTTTTGAAGATTACAAATATCATTACTAAATCCAAAGCTGATTCAACACACGACGTAGCAAATGTCAGAGACACTGTCAGTAAATTACCTGAGTCGTGCACAAAAGAGGTGGAGGTATTTTATCACGAGACAGGTCTTTTAGCGGTCTGCAGGGAACCCTCATCATCTTTCATAAAGGGAGGCTTGCCATTTTAATCCCACATCTGGTGTGCATTACCATTCCATGCAGCTCTGACTCAAGTCTGGATCTTAGCAAGTACCTCACCCTCTCTTTGTGTCCAAAGACCATAAAATGCTAACCGCCTGAAAGTAAAGATGACATTGTCTCATTTTCAAAAATCTTGTAGTTGATCTAGAAAAGATTCCAGTTACTGGAATTAGAGTTAAAGAGTGAAGAGGCCTAAGGGATACACGTACTATAAATAATGAAATCATTTACAATTGTTCTTTTATTATGTAGGATTTGACGACAGCAAAACCTAAACAGCTGTGGCAGAGGCATGACTATTGGACGTATAATGTGCAGTCTTGCAGAATAAACACTGCTGCCGGCATCTTAATAGAAATGACTGACTGCTAAATATTAAATAGTGAGTACTGCACTATGCAATTTTGTGATTACATACTATAAGCTACATGTTCATATATACACAACTTGCGCAACAAAATATACTTCTCAAAGTGTGCTTTGAATTTATGTCAAATGGTGTAACTGTTATTTGCTGAAATATATATATATATGGAATATTAGCGAGTTCACAAACTTACAAACATACAAACGTAAGTAATAAAGATTCTATCAATCAAGAAAGCTCTCACTTGTAGTATCTAACCTTGAGCCAATCACTGATATTATCGAAAATCATGACAATTTAAACAACCGTCAATACTATGCAAATTACTGTTCTTTCACTCTCTTTTATGTCGCATTTTTTCTTTTCTTTTTTTTTGCTTTTTGTACTGCTATATAAACATTCATACTTTGAATGTCACATGGAAAGTTTATAACATAGATTTTCAACCTGGCAAAGAATGCTGGGGAATAATGCAAAATAAACAAAGAAATTCTGGTACATGAGATCGACAGATCGGTAAGTAAAATGGACGTGCTTGTCCAGAAAAAGGGCGCCTAGTCCGGCTATTCCAGTTTGTAATAGTAAGGTAATTATATTACCAGCATGAAAAATACAAGCTACAGGTTAAGGCTCTGAAACACTCACATATGGTACTTTGTAACTGAACTTGGATCATGATAATACCTTTTATCTCTGAAGAAGATAACAGTTTGTCTAAATTTTACACAGTCGTCCAAGCTTAGCAGTATCCCCTATATACAACTACTAAGAGAGCTACTACTTACATCTGTGTCACAAATGTTGCCACATACTGAAGTGACTTCTTCGATTTCTCAATAGAAGACACGTTTGTGATTAATTTCTTGTTGATTAAAATTCATACATAAAGTCTCTGATGATTCCTTCAGACGGAAGAGTGGCTGCTCAGAGATGAGAGCACAAGCAAGATTGCATGATGTGTTTTGCTAATCAAATCTTTTGAAAAAATCATTGAAAAATTTGTTTGCCTACATTAAACCACAATTATTCAAAGGCCTCAGCAGCACTGCAAAGCGCAATACAGCACGTACAACAAAACACATGATTAAAAAGACAGAGAGATGCTTGTTTGACAAGTTGAATGCAACTCTCTCCTCTCTCTCTCTCTCTCTCTCTCTCTCTCTCATACTCATACTGTACATGTGGAATGGTGATGTGGAATGGTAGGGTCTTACCTGAGGGCAGTCTTTGATGTAGTGACCCTTATTGAAGCAGAGATGGCACAGGTAGTTTGGTGGAGGTCTCTTGCTGGGCTTGCGTGGCTCCGAGGACAGGGAGAGGTCAGAGAAGTGGTCCGTTAGAGAGTTCAACCCATCCACTATGTTGTTCAGAGAGCCATATGGGGAGACGCTTTTGTATAAGCCATTATTTAAGGCCTGCAAAGAAAAAGTGAACAAGAGGGCACTAGCAAAAATAATTATATGAAATTTTAAACAAGAAACAACTAACATTTAAGTGTTAGGAACTTCTGTACTGCACACCAGGTGGCATTTGAAGAGTTACATCATTTTAAATCTGTCTGATGAAACATGGAAAAGCTGACATGAATCCATAAATCATGCAAGTCAACAGATTCATAAAACAACAGGAACAGGAAACGTGTAAAAACAGTTGTATAACCACAAGCGAGTTGGAAAAAGCTGGACTCATATTTGATGAACAGTTCTCTGAATTATCTCTTAATTTAAATGTAGTAAAACTATAAGACACAGTGAGTATTGAGCATAAGTTCACAAAGTTTAGCCTGTCCCAAGGTACACTCCAACTTAAGCCTAATGATCACTGCATCAGACTGTGGTTTGCACATTGGGCTGTATTATAACCACAGTGAGCGCAGGAATGTCAAACACTCATATGTTACACTCTCAGAGGCTTGGAAGTAAAGAAACTGCCTAAGCGATGTCTTCCTCCAGAGGAAACGGCTATCCTTTGGAGGACTGTGTTTTCTGGTGAGGGCTAATGGTGCATAGTAGTAAAACTGTATACTTGGCAAGTCCTGATGATTGTTATGCTGTCCTTAGCTACCAAGGACATTAAACAGCTTTCTCACGTCTTCCAGTCCATTCTTTCCTCATCAGTTTGATAAACTCAGGGTACACCAAACATATTTTATTGAAGCTTTCTCCATAACCCTACATCTGTCATTCATTTTCTGTCCTGCCCACTCAAATCCGTTCTGAGAGCAATCCACATTAAATAGAAAACAAACACAACCCCAAACTTGCTTTTCTGCAGACTTACATATGGCTACACATAAAAACAAGAATACCATCTAATAGGACAAATAAATTGGATTTACATTCAGCATAAATAGCCTGCACATGCAGCTGTAATATATGTGTGTGTGTGTGTGTGTGTGTGTCTGTGTGTGTGTGTTTGAATCCAGTTACATTTGAATTTTGTCTGTTATAACTAGAGATTCACTAATTCAACTGTTTTCTCTCTCAATATTAGTTGTCTGAACTTGTCCTACTGTGCTGAGTTACTGCACTTTTGCATTAAATACATGGCTAATGGACCAGTTTGTGCATATAAGCAATTAAGCACTACTTAAAACTACACTATGTAAGTTCTGGGGATTTTGACATCTGGGTGGAAATACGTAACTGCACACAACATGCGGAATAACATTTTGTTGCGTCGGCTGTGCTTTGGACCCCCTCAAGCAGATGAACATAATAATTGCGTGCACACTGAAAGGGTATTCAAAAAATTCGGGGAGGGACATGTTTTCCAAGGGTGTAAGTTAATGTTGGTATGACATGGTCTGAAAAACTCCCACAAAATCTGACTCTTCTCCTGACTCTGTAATGCCACTTATTGCCATTTTAACAAAAAATCTTACATAGTGCAGCTTTAATAAAGCTAAAATAGAAAAAAAAAACTCATTTATTTCATAATCATATCTCATTCTCTTTCTCTATATTTGTTGGGCCTTAATGCCCTCCCATCCACTTCCTGTATTTTGTTCATATATCATAGAGCTTAATACCCAAACCTAACCACCAGCCGCCACTGTACTGTACCACAGAGCAGATGATCATACATCAATTTTTTTTTTTTTTAGGATTGTGTACATTCTTAAATTATATTGTTACAGATTTGTACAATTGCACTATTACAATTTTATAAGGACCATGACTAAGAAAGGGCATTGAATGTGGAATGGTAACATCTGACTCGAACTGTGTTCAAAATACTGATATGGCTAAATATCATGGATAAGCTTGCGCTGATACACATATCAATATTGAGATGGCTGTATCCACATTTATGAATTCACTTGTGTGTGCCCCATTGAAAAAGAAACTAAGTTATGTTTTTTTCTTCCTTTTAAAAATTATTTATCTTTATAAAAGTTTTGTAGTTTTAGTTACACTTCCACAGACGTACCTTAGTTTATGGTTGTGAAGTATTAGTGTAGTCTGCCGTGGTAAGCTCTCAGCCATTAGCATTTTGATAACATGTTTGTATCATGAGTTTCAAGTTGCAGTGCTGTTAAAACTAAACAGATGATACTACTGTGGTGTATGTGATCTGCGGCACACGCTTGGGAACATTTTGTTGTTCACTGATAATTTACAGCCACAGACTCTCGCAGACAGATGTACATGCCTAAACATTAACTACTGCCTCCATGATGCTGACCTGGTGATTACAAGTGCAGAAGGTTCTTGTGCCTTCCAGTGCTCTAACCACATTTTATAATGTATTTAACAAAATGACATTATCATCCTCCCCAGCCTTATTTATTTATTAATTATTATTACAATGTTTACCTTTTTTTTAATAAAAGGAAAACATTGAACAAAATTGTGTGTTGTACATCTGGTGTGTTTTGTCATTGTATCATATCGTAATGCTTGTATCATGATACTATCACATCGTAAAGTTGCTGGCAATGTATCGTGTCGGCAATGTGAGTGTCCTGGTTTCAAAGACTAGGCTTTATGCTTGAACATGAATCTGACCCATAATATGCAAATTTGAATCCACAGCAAGTTCTCTACAGACATAAAATTGACTAGCACAAGTACAGCTGAGTCAACTGCACTGTTGCGCACACACTCTTAAAAAGAAGGTTTTCAAGGGTTCTATAGTAAAGGGAGTTGTTTCTATTTAGTACCATGCTTAAGTGGTTTTCTGCATAGTGAAATCGTTCTTCAGATTGTTGGAGAATGTGTTGTATAAGGTTCTATATAGAACCTGCTTGAAAACGGTTCTATATAGCACCAAAAAAGGGTTTTTCTATTGTTAAACGCTTGACATTGTAACAGTAAGATAACTCTTTTCGGTGCTATATAGAATCATTTTCGAAAAGACTCTATATAGGACCACATACAACACATTCTCCATCAATCTGAAGAACGAATTTACCATACAAAGAAACATTTAAGCATGCATTCCCTTTACTGAGGTACCCTTGAAGAACCATCTTTTTTAAGAGTGTATAATAACATTTTCAGTTTTATATATATATATATATATATATATATATATATATATATATATATATATATATATATATGTGTGTGTGTGTGTGTGTGTGTGTGTGTATTTAAATTGTGTGTTCTTTAATAAATACTTAATACACTGAAATGAAATCACATTTAACAAGCCAGATAAGGAAAGTATAATCTTAATGCTAATTAATGCAAATTTTTAACATTTTATTCTAATACTAACACAACAAAATGATGTCTTGAGACGTTTTAAGAGTCAGAGAGAGCAGTAGGTTCTGAAGTGGCTGGCTGAGAGCAGATGGCCATCGCACACTTTGTGGAGAAGATCTCTCCTTTCTGCTCTCTCACTCAACAGGAGAGCCTCTCAGAGGGTTATTCCTGCCCTGCAGTGCCCTGATCCCAATACTTATACACACACACACACACACACACACACACACACACACACACACACTCACACACACGCACACACACTCATACAGTCAAACACACACACACACACACACGTTTATACAGATGTGTTCATTCACAGACACTCACATCAACCCACATGCACATACAAAATATCTATGCACACACATGTAGACCCCCCCTCCACACACACACACAGGCACACCTAGGCAGCTGTTGCTGTTATTCAGCCTTTGATTAGGTGAGTGCTTTCTCAGGGAAGAGGTGGTGCACTGTGTAGTTCTCTGAGTGAGTGCTTTTACAGAGCTCACAAATGGCACTCAGCACTTTTGGCTCCCATCTAGAGCAATTATACAGCAGATTATCCTTAGCAGATTGACGTCTAATATGGGGAGAAAAGAGTGTGAAAGTTATACACACTAAATTGAAGCATACTCAAACTAACACTGATACTGCAAACCTATATAGTGTATAGTGCTAAGTACGCCAACAATTTATCAGTTCATGCTACGTACTTGCAGTATACAGATGGTATAATAGAGCACAATGTTATGTCAAAATACATTTTAAAAGCTAATATTCCTCTCTCACAGCTGATGTGACAGGGAATCATAAAGAAAACATTATTTTTTAAACTCAAGTTTAATCATATACTTATGCCTCTGGAACCAATTATTGTGCTGAGTAGTGCAATCTAGTCAAAATCTCTTTAAAATCTCACGACTCTAGTTAGAGCTGCACAATTCAATGTTATTCTCGAAACTTGGCTATTCACAGTCCCAACTGCAATGATGGATCAGGTAGCCACACCCATCTTCGGAGGTCCTAATTCTTGTTTTATTCTGACAACTGCTGGTCTTCCACCATACATGTATACATATTTATTAATGCATTTCTAATTTTATTTAACTATAATATAACATTTTCACTCCCTACAGAGGTTCATGCTGATTTTTGCCCTTATATATATCAATCAGCAAATAATTAATATGATTTGTGACTTTATCCGAATAAATATACCACTGTTAAATTTAGCACAATCATTGTGTTTATGCCAATACAGAAAACACTGTATTCAGTTTTGGCTGAAACCAACGCCTGGTCATTCTGAAAGGTCATCATCAAATATTTCTCAACAGCAGATTAGAGCATTTATTCTTCTTTAGCAGGCCATAACCTTTTGACCCTTACTGCATCAGTATATAGGCCTCAAACCGAGACATTTAGCTTATGAAGCATTTGGAGTTCTCGAAACATCTAGAAAACTGACCTATAGTGCCTACAAAAACGCAGGTCTATTGACCAGTCCTATGTACTGAGCTAATAAGAGTAATTTATCATCATTTATTATCATCTATCAACCAATAAAAAGGCGTACACAAATCTAAATAGACCTAAATATGTAACATTTACACTCTACATTTTACATGCACTTCCGCGTTTGGTGTGTCAATAATCAAAACCATTAAGCTCATTAATCGATTAGTCTCCGTATGACTGGCTAACTTAGGTTGACGTCTAATTCCTCAGTAAAGGTAAATTTTCGAAGCAGTTTGTAAAACTAGCCAATGCGTAAAGGAAGTCAACAACAAATATGAACATACTAACATTACATTTCAGTCAAAGAAAGCCAAGACACCCCTGTGCACCATTTACCTACAGCAAAAACGACTTGTGCAGATACCAAATGTCATGGCGGTTGTGTGGTCTACAAGAATAGGCTCTCATACTCAAGCTCAGACATCCACACTAGTTTTACACGCTGGGCAAAAAAAATCACGAACTAACACGCATAATCCTGTCAGTGGACAAAACAGCAGGTATAACACGAAGCTCAGAGAGTGTTTTCGGCCTACCTCGTTTCTCGGGAGCTGAAAGAAATTGCTGAGATAGTTGGAAGTGAGAGAGGAGCTGAGGTCGGCAGCGGGAGCCTTGCTGTAGCTCAGGTCCGGATGGGAAGCATTGGGCTCGGGTCGAAAGGCATCGAAAGCACTGGTCTGGTGGGTGTCTTGTAAAGAGAGATAAACCCAGTTTAGGAGTTGTGCAGGCTGGTACACTGAGGTACTACTGTCTATGGCAGACAACAAGCTCATCTTTTGCGGATAACTTTCTCTCTCCCACAGTCACTTTCAGACAAGTCTCAACTTCGAGGACTTGTTCTAAGTTTATTGAATGCGCCGTCCGCTTTTCCACACCCCAGAAGTGGAAAGTTTTCGCTCTTCGTTCCCGCTCCAACTCTGTTCCTCTCCTGGGATCCCCGTCCCAGGTTTGCGATTACGCCCGAGTTATTCCTCTAACATGACATTACATTACAAAAAAAGTTTTAGCCCGCTTTCCGCGGCCCGTTATCTCTCTTTATTTGCACTCTTACAGCGAGGGGCTTATTGCATATTCAGTAAGCCAGAGAGTGCGTCATCTCTAACAAGAGCCAATCAGCGCGCGGCCCAAAATATATGCAAGATGCGTTTCGGTGGGACCTGTTGATGATTGGTTACCATGTAAGCTTGATTAGAATATTCATTTAGGCTACGTCCCAGGCCATGTCAACAGATAATCTGAAATTTACAAACCAGGGTCTGTGCTAAATGGCATAGACTTCGCGGGATCATAAAATCAAAAAAGACAAAAATTATATTTTAAACTTTAGGCTATATGACATATATACACTAGCATTCAAAAGTTTGGAATCACTTGTCACATTTATAAATGCATTTATTTTATTCAATTTTAACTCATACAGTGTATATCTTTCAATATGTTTTATTCAATATATTTAACTTTTTTTTTTTTTTGGTGGGGACACCCTGGTCACCCTGAGATTTGATCACCAAATTTTTCATTCGAAGCATTCGGGATATTCAGTTTATTCTTATTAGTTTTACAGCTTTCTCAGTCATTAAGGGATCATCTACAGCTCCCTTCATCATTCTGGAAACATCTAAAATATCTTCCTGTATCACTACTTCCTACTAACGGTTGAAAACTGTGATGTTTAATTAGCTGAAATCCAGGCAGACAGCTTAGAGAGGCAAAGAGATGTACACAAGGTCTACCCATTTATACTATTCTAGCTGAAAGTGCCATCCCTCCCCCAAACCATAATTAGCTGTAAAGTAATCACTGCTTTATAACAGCCCTGATTGCTGGCTCTCTTAAAGGCTGAAGGTGTGTAGTTTCACATATTCCACTAAACAGGAAAATAGGCTGATGTAAAACAAATGGCTCTGTTTATTTAGCTTGAGGTGAGATTCTGAGGTGAGATGCCCAAACAGTTCCTGAGTGAGTATCCACCAGCGGCTTTCTTCTTTCTTCAGCCACAGGATAAATACACATGAAGCTTACTTTCTCAAGCTGGAATAACTACACATCATGGTAAACCATGCTCAAAAAAGTTAATTAAATTGTGTCCTCAGTTTAAAGTTTTAAATGAGCTCAGTGAAGATTGTTCACTCACCTTAAAACATTTTAGATAACTATATTCACATAGTCATTTTAGGTTTTTCTTTAGTTGATCCAGTTTTCAAGTTTAGAGTAAAAGATCCGTGTTAACTTGTCTAAACAGATAACACCAACAGAACAGTCAAATACTTCTCAGCAAACAATGGATATGAAACAGAACAAGATGAGGAATATGGCATTGTTGCACTTCAGGGAGTGTTCAGCTACTTTCTAATGGAGAAATGTGTCAGGCAGCTTCTTTAATAAACAAAGAAAAATCTCTAATTTAATGATGATGCACCTCAATAAACAACAAACCGCAGTCAAATTTTAAATAGTTCTGACATGCTCTGTGAGGCTCAATAGAAAAAATATAAATGAATATATATATCAGACACCAAGAAACTTTTCTGATTCAGTTGCATGCAGTTCTCCACACACCACTTTATGAAACACTTAACAGGCTTATATGCCACCTTGTGGTGTAGTTGAGAAACTTTATTTTTTATTTCTGCAGTCAGACATAAAAGATGAATGAATACATATTGTTTAGTTATATCTTAAACTAAGCATACAGCCAATTGTACTAAATAAGAACTTCTTACAGAACTTTGCATTAGATCTTTCAGGAATAAAGAACCAGTGATGTGATGCAATCTGTAGAATTACTGCCAACCCTCTGGTTGAATTGATGATCTGGCTGATGGACTAGCTGCCACTTGCCTGTTGTAAAGGTAATACCCTGAAAATACATATAACTAATGTAATAAAAGCATACTACAATACAATGTTCCATTTATTTTTTCTTTCGTTTTATTCACTCTCCTTTTACCACACATATTCATAGAGAAATGTTTCACCTGTCTTGCACTGAGCACAGTTTATCAGTTTATCTCAAGTTCCTGGGCACCACCATATCCAGGGACCTGAAGTGGTAGAGGTACACAGTATTCAACCCCAAGAAAGCCCAGCAAAGAATGAGATAGCTGAAGAAAATCTTCATTGAGTCCATCCTCACGTTATCCATAACCACCTGGTTTGGTTCATCCACCTCAAAAAAACGAGCCAAACTCCAGCGCATCATCAAGACAGCAAAGAGGGTCAGCCAGCACTTCAGGGCATCTACAACAGCAGGGTGATGTTGGAAGATTCAGGGCCATCAAAACCAGCACAGCCAGACATGCTAACAGCTTTTTTCCCCTGAGCTGTAGCGCTCATTAACCACAATGGACACACCTTAAACCTTAAACTACACCATCAAACCATCCTTGATGTTTAACAGTAACTCCTCTGTAACAAAATACTATTTGCACAACTGTACAGATGTTACATTCGGGCAAGTATTCATAACATTCTGTATATAGTTTTTATAGTATGTGTCATTAGACTTGCATATGTACAGATATTCACACATTTCTTTAGCTCCTCTCCATAGCTCTTTATTATTCTTTATGCTATTTATTATATTATTTTAATTTTCCCTTAGTTAAATACTTGTTAACAGTCTGTGTACTGTCTGGTCTGTTTAGTATGTTACATGTAATACTCATCAAGAGAAATTCCTTGTATGTGTAACATACCTGGCGAAATAAAGTGATTCTGATCTTCTTATATATATTATTTTATATTATATTCTTATATTCTTCAGATTAGAATGTTTAATATATTTTACAGTGATGACATTATGCTTTACCAAAAGCAGAGATGGAAAAAGTAGAGAAACTGTACTAAAGTGCCCAAACTTTTGCATACAACTGCATCACGTTGTGGTAATCATTTAGATACTTTATCAGTCTTGAAAGTACTACCTCTAGTGTATATTCTCATGTAACGTTTCTTCTTACATACTGTGCAAACATAGCTCCTACTGAGCACACTGGTTTTGCTTTTACAACCCCTTTTTCAAAAATGTTGGGACACAACAAAAGACTGGTAAAGTTGTGTAATGTTTAAAAAAAACAGCTGGTGGAACATCTGTGTCAAATACTGCAAAAATTCAAGAATAACTTTTCTCAACATAAAATATCAAACAACTTGGAATTTCATTATCTACAGAACATCATTAAAAGGTTCAGAGAATACAGGGATATGTAAGGGATCTGTATGTAAGGGACAGGGCCGAAAACCAATACTGGCTGGCCGTGATCTTCGGGCCCACAGGCAGCACTGCATTAAAATCAGACAAGATTCTGTAGTGGAATTCACTGCATGGGCCCAGCAACACTTCTGAACACCGCTGCCTGTGAACACAGTTCATCACTGCATCCACAAATGCAAGGTAAAACTCTACCATGCATATAAGAAACCATCTATAAACAGGATCCACAAACGCCACCACCTACTCTGGACCTGAGCTTATTTAAGATGGCCTGAGGACAAGTGGAAAAGTATCCTGTGGTCCGCTGAATGAAAATTTGAAATTCTTTATGGAAATCGGGGACGATGCGTCAACTGCGCTACAGTGGAGAGGGACCATCTGGCTTGTTATCAGTGCACAGTTCAAAAGCCAGCTTCTGTGATGGTATAAGGGGGCATTAGTACACATTGCATGGGTGACTTGTACATCTGTGAGAGGACCAATAATGCTGAACGATACATACAGGTTTTGGAGCAACACATGCTACCATCCAGGTGACATCTTTTTCAGCTTATTTCAGCAAAACAATCCCAAACCACATTCTTCTTACACTACAACAGCATGGCTCCATAGTAAAAGAGTCTGGTTGCTAAATTGGTCTGCCTGTAGTCCAGACCTGTCACCCATTAAAAACATTTGGCACATTATGGAACAAAAAATTCAACAAAGGAGACCCCAAACTGTTGAGCAGCTGAAATCCTATATTAAGCAAGAATGGGAAAACATTTCACTTTTAAAACTACAGCAATTGGTCTTCTCAGTTCCCAAATGCTTAGAGAGTGTTGTTAAAAAAAGAGGTGATGCAACACAGTGGTAAACATGCCCCCGTCCCAACATCTTCGAAATGTGTTGCTGGCATCAAATACAAAATGGGTATATATTAAAAAAAATAAATAAATAAAATACCATTTTTCCATTTCAACAATGGTATGTTATCTTTGTACTGTTGTCAATTAAATATAGGGTTTAAATGATGTGCGCATCATTTCACTCACTGTTTTTAATTTACATTTTGCACAGCATCCCAACTTTTTTTGAAAATGGGGTAGTAACTCAGATGATGTTTTCTACTGTTTATTTAAGTGACAAATACATTTTTATAATTCTGTAACAGTAACTTCACTTGGCTCTCATTTTGCTTTCTTTGTGGTGCTCTGTGGCAACACTGACCGCAGAACACATTAAAACTACTCTCTCATTAATCTTTCAAATCATCTAAGCAGTGCCCCTTTTCATCTGCTTATGCCACAGATTTATGAACACCACAGAAATCCTCTGCTTGAAGATGAGCAATCATGAAAGAGAGAATACAGTTTTAGGTTATACAATACAAGGACACAAAACAGATTTCAAGGTTTCATAATAGCTGGATACAGGACACTTTCCCCCCCACAAAGTACAGCATGATTTGAATAGTTATTTATAAAGTGTTACTTGAATATTGTCAGTCAGCCATTTATTTCACTCTGCTACACTTCATCATTATGTGCATGATGTATACGGACCATATATTACAAGAGTAATTAGATTTCAGCACTCTACACAAGAAATCACATACAGTTTTAAAGTCACACATCTTTAGAAATCAAAAGTTAATACAGTTAGCTAAGCATTACAGCAGCTGTTTATATTTTTGCTAAATAAAGACAGATGGCATTCTGGGTCAGGTTATATACAGGCCAAGAGCAATAACTTCAATGTCCAAAATAAATAGAAAATATCAAAATTATGCATCCGAGAGATTTTTCAGAGATTTCTGTGGAGATTAATTCATTGCATCTTATAGTCATCTGTTTACAAGCAGCTGTATAATCACATGAAATCTAGGCAGAATGGTCTTTCATGTGCAACCTATAACTATAAACATATCTGTAGGCCTTTCCACAGACATTACACTGAAAAGGTTTTTCTTTTGAATGAGTTCTCTTGTGCTTGTTTAGTATATAAATTCGCTTGAAGCCCTTTCCACACTCTGGACACACATATGGTCTCTCTCCTGTGTGATCTCGTAGATGCACGTTTAAGTCATACTTATCAAAAAACCTCTTCTCACACTGGTCACAAGTGAATGCCCTCTCTCCAGCATGTCTGCGCAGGTGAATCTTTAGATAAGCAGGTTTGGCAAACATCATTCCACACTCATCACAAGGGTACGGTCTCTTTCGCTTGTGCACTTTCACATGGTCTGTGAGAAGGTCCGAGCGCTTAAAATCTTTCCCACAAGTTTCACATCTGAATGGTTCTCCATGCTTCTTTGTTTGCATTTTCAGTGTTGTTCTGCCATCACTCGCTTTGCCACAGTAACGGCTCTTATGTTTTTGTGCCTTCCTCGGTTTGGCTTTGTATCTCTTTCTTGTCTCTGATGCACCAGGCTTTACTTTTTTCTTGAAAGGTTTGTCCAGACATTTGCTTGACTTCTCAGTCCATGCTATATCACACTCCTCATCATCTATTTCAACTGGAGGAATTAGGCCTGCTGGTAGGTCATCTTCACACTGCTGAGCCATTCTGATGACTAAGGTTCGGTCCACAAGTCTTTCTTTTTCATCTATCAGTACGCCAAACTTAAAAGACTCTTCCTTAAACTTCTCCTCAAATTGAAGACAAGGGAAAGACTCTGAGTGACTTGGATCAGACTCCTTTTTAATTCGAACAGGGAGGACAGATGCTGTGAAATGTGTTTGCAATGTCAATATGCAGTAATTTTCAGATTCCACGTTTTCATTATCCAGGTTTGGTGAGGTGGCAAATAACATATTCAAGGGCTGGATATTTCTCATTTCATTTGCCCAATGGACTGGTGTGTTTTTGTCTTTGGTCACTTAACATCAGGCCCCTTACAGCAGGCAATACCATAACTTTCTACAACTAACGTGTGGATTTCATATTTGCTTCAGGCTGCACTTTTGCTTTAAGGTCCTCACCTTTCACTTTACCAGCACAGGGAAAACATGGAGGTTTATTCCAGTCAAACCTCTGATTTACAGTCGTTTAACACCTGTGGCAAAAATAAGAAAAACATGGGTTGAAGCAAGATATACAATACTCTAAATCCGCATTAAGGTAAATAAATCCCTTTACATGAATGTAGTATGATAACTGTGGGGTCACCAGCTAAGAAAAAGATGGTATCTAGAAAACCTTTAAACTTACCGTTTCAGTGTCAGTTAGTCTTGCAGGAAAACGTCAGCCACGTCGAACAGTGTTTCTTTAAGAGCGGAAAATCACAGAATTTTTTTAATCACTTATCAGTGATTTAGGCTCTGTAATCTCTATAAAGCACATCATTTTACAGCAGCTTCCCGTTTCCAAGTATTTCTCGGTGAGCATTCGACTCATCGACCGTTCAGTTGAGTTTATATCGCCATCTAGTGTTGTGGAGGGGATGATCTGACTAAAGCAGAGACAGATACTGTTTTTCCAGTAGCGCCTTTTAGTATGACCCGTAGAGGTCACTAACGAGAAAAAAAAATTGTGAGGAGGAAAATCTGTCCCCGCAGTTCAGTAATCCGTACTCTCAGTTTATAAACCGTGCCACGGATTTGTAAACTGTACTCTCGGTTAGCAAAACTGCCATTACATGCCATTAAACAAGGAAACATTACTGTTAACATTTTTATAAAATGTTTGAATGACATTTCAATTTACAACCAAAACCAAAGTAACGTATCAGACATAGAAATGTACTACTGTATCAAATGCGTTATAAAAATCCAGAAATAAAAGCTTCTTCATTTGCCAACTCTGAATAATCCAGAAGATCCAAAACAAGGTGGATATTATTTGATATATGTCTATCTTTCATAAAACCAGATTGAAAACAGATATTTCCTCCAAACAGGGCTCGAATCTGTTGGCGTTTAAAGTAACTTATAATCAGAATAGTAATTTTACAGGATATCCTAAGGATCGTAGGAGGGACCTTCACAACCTTGGGGAATTAAGACGGTTTGCGAAGAGGAATGGGCCAAAACCCACAATGCTGCAAAAAGCTGATTGCTTCTTTTCCAAAAACTTCTCAAAGTTGTTGGCAATTGCCAAGAATAGCTTTGCAACAAAGAACTAATGTTATTAAATTTTGGTGTTTGAATACTTCTAGCTTTATCAATTTTATTCTTTAAACATAAAAAATTTGGTTTGACAGATCAGAATAAAAACATTTCACCACACTAAATATATATATGTTTATTTATTTATTTATTTATTTTTTTAACAAAGGCCTACAGTATTCTGTCTCATACACCCATCTAGATACTCCCTAAGTCCTATCAGAAGGCCTAGCTTCTCCCTATTGTTGGTGTCAACTCTCAGTCAGTCTCTCCCCAGGCTTATGCCATTCATTTCCCTTGTAGGGAAAAAAAACTAACTATACATTTTCCTGCTTTGTTTTTTATGGTTGGTTGCAACAGCATGGGACTTAACAAATGATGTAGCAGTCAGCTACAACAATGCAAAGAGGCACTGTTTTTTGGAGTCTTCACACAGAACCATACCTTTTTATCTCACAAAATAGCTTACTAGTGTAGAAATACCCAGGATCCCCATGAACTTGCACAATGTCTTTGGATTTCAATGAAAATCAGCTTTCGATGGCATTTATTCTATCAACAGATTACAGGTAGTGTGCAAAACAGAATTTTAAACAATTTTCTGAAAATGACAAAGACACAATCACATTTTCACATAAAAATCACAATGTGAGTAACTGTTCCAGATAAAATAATTTCATCTTTTCATTACATTCGGTGTCCAGAGTTGGAGGTAACAAGCCATTGCTGTTGGCCAGTTATTAAAAACACCTTAAAAGTGCACACACCACTCTTTACAGTTTTGAAGTCATCTGTCCTGACAGGGCAGTGTAGTGAGTGCGGAGACGGTCTGCTTCTCTCCAGCCTGTTATCAGGGCTCCGTGGACAGTAGAGAAGAAGGATCTGTGTGTGGCCTCTCCAGCAAACATCACCTGTAATGGCTGAAGAGAAAGGCTGAGCTGTATCACTCTTAGAAAAACAAGCTCCACCATACAGGTGTTAATCGCATCAGATGGCAGACTTTTGCTGAGAAGCTAACCCCACATATGGGCGCAGACAATAATCATGTAATGTTTGTACAAATAAAAGGTGGTGAAATGAGCTGTTAGGCTAGCTACTTAGCTAAGTGATGTAGTCAGTGTGCTGTAATTACTGCTTCTTAAAGATTATAATCAATTGTCTCAAAATCCCTGACTGTGGCTTTAATAGTTACTTTTCAAAGGAGTCACTCGCAATCAAAATAGTGCAGTGCCACTGTGAAACCTGAAGGTAGTGACGCTTCAATTTACCTGAGAATTTGAACCTGGCAGGGGAAGAGGCTCTGCAAGGTTATCTATGTCATAACCTGAGCACCCTTTGGCCACGTAGGTGTAGGATCCACAAGTGTATGGGTCATGGAACCACTGGGACCGTAGAAGCTTCTTTGGTGCAATAGTTGGATTTCCTGGAAATTACAGTTAAGAATTAAAACTACCTAAGGCGAATGGAGGTTACTGAATATCTTACTTTGTCATACATTACATCAAAAACTGCTGAGAGGGATTTTTTCATACAGGTTTTTCAAGTTAAATTCCTGCTGTGGCAGGTATGAACCCAGTGTTTTGGTACAGTCAGTATAACAGACACATTTATCTATGTTACCTGTAAACCTGCGAATGAGCTGAGTGACTGCTTGCAGCACTTCAAATTCTGTCAGAGTTTCCATGTACTCGGATTCATGCCCAGCAATCCAACCACAAAGAACGTGGCCAAACCTTGTCAGAGAGAGTAATCAAATCTCACAAACAGCCTAAAGTGCAGTGCTAGATCTTGATTAGACCGAACTCTGCCTACCTTTCCATGGGCTTCAGAACAGTGAACCCAACCAGCTTTCTGATCCAGGCCGTCTTCACATCAGAAAAAGCATCCACAAGATCAGGCTCGTCGTCCCATACGAGGTAGATAACTTCACAATCTTCACTCCAGAATGGATTCTCAAACTCAAGGAAAATCTTATTGTTGGTCCCAAAACCCATCCTCTGGACGGAGTGCAATTTGTGTAGTGGCAGAGGAGGATGTAGGAGTGTGTCCTGATACTTCTTCAAGTAGCCTTTACAGTTGAACACATTATAAAAAACGGCACACTCAATAAACATAATATTCTAATATTGCAAAGTTGTCAAAGATAATATACAGAAAGCAGTGAAGAGAAATCTGTAATCTGTGATGTGCAATGAGATTTGTAATGAGCAGTGTACAAATAAGAGAAATAAAGGATGGTGTAACCCATAAAACATACCAAGTGGAATGGTAACAATGACATGATCTGCTTCAAAAGCCTCTCCATTAACACACTCAACAGTAACAGGGTATGTCCTTCCTTTTGAGCTTGACTGCTTGTAGGTGTTATTCCAGTGAATGCACTTAACTGGTTTATTGTACAAAACAATGTCCTTGGGAAGTTCATTCATCATGTGCTTAATTAGGCCATCATAACCTCTGAAAAAGAGAAAAATATATAAATTCATACACACTACTCAACTGTGTACCCTTGTCATTGGGCACTAAAGTTCTACAACACCTTATATCTAAAAGTTAAAGAAAACAACTGTCCTTCTAAAAGCTCACCCTGGGAAGGTGCAGTCCAGTCCTGGAAGTGTCTTGTACATGCCAAAAGCTCCAAGGCCCACATCATCCATAGTGTGTGTTCCACTAACACAGCACTCCAGCTTCAGCATTGTGCTCAGAAGAGCAAGCTTCAGATCTTTGGTAGCCTGGTTCTCCTCCCACTCCTCATGGGCTATCCGGAGGACCTCTCTCTTAAGAAACTCCCCCACAGTAGGCAAGGGTTCTTCACCACTGGCGTGGAACTCCTGGCACTTCTCAAACAATGTCATGAAGAGTTCCACTGCAGGTCCCATCACCTCAGGATCAAGTTTCCTGCCTGAGCTGGAAAACCAGTTAGGTACAAAAGGTGGGTGACCACCAATGTCCACTGACTGATTCTCCTCAGACATGGACTCTTTGCTGAGTAATTGGTAGTGGCAGGCCAGGCGAAACACCGGATTCTCCTGTGATGGGCCATGGATCCAGTTGGCACCTATTTCTACAATATTACTGCCTGGAGAAAAATGAGATTATGGATTATGGATTTTGAAGGAGACTAACTATGCCAAAGTAAAGTTATTGATTACAACTTGGAACACTAACATATCACATTTCTATCAAGTTAATTATCACGATTGGTATCTAGTAAAGAACTTCTCACGTAATGCTGACATGTATGTGCACCTAACATACATTCTCAAAGTTTATAAATCAGTGACAGTTCAAAGTTCCTATAGTGCAAAGACATAGGTCTATAAAGATGCCACAGTAGACCATTAAGTTAACCAGTAAACTGAGGCTCAATGCAAAGGAAACAACCTAGCCTCAATATTGCCAGTGTTCAGAGTAAGAGGCTCTACAGAACATGTGTCAAACACAAGTCAGGCCCGTGACACACTCCTATTCGGCCCGCGAAATCATTTTAATTTTCTATTATTATTAGCCCAATTCACCATGAGCTGCACTACAATCCCCAGCATGCACTGCAACATAATGTGCGTCTATGGGACAGCACCACAAAAAGCAAAGATATGCCAGGTGTCTAGTTCAAGCCAACAGGCAGGTTTAAAACCCTACCATACACTGGGGACAGTTAAAGAGGTTTAACAGTTATCTGTAGCAAGACGATTGATTTATATAAAGTCTGTTGTTTTATATAAAACAACTTGCTTTTGCTTCGAATTATTTTAATAGGTCAAGTATTCAGTGCCTTTTTTTTGCTGTTGCAGGTTTGAATAAACAATGGCCAGCTCGGGTCAAGAAATAAAAACACAGCTGGTCCACGTGTTTGTTTAGATTTTTTCATTTGGCCCTGTTTGTGGTTGAGTTTGACACCGCAGCTCTACAGTGACTGCTTTTCACAACAGTGAAGCCGCTACATATTTAACACGTAGCTGATTTTACTTCAATATCTGGATGGTCAAACTTTAATCGTGTAAACACATTTTAGGCACCTCCTGCTTCCCGTTTGTCAAACTACACACTTGCAAGACTAGAAATAGAATATGTGGGGTGATTAAGGAGACTATGAATAAAAGTAATGAACAAACCTCACCCCGGAGATTTTGTGCTCGTTAGGCTTGCTTTGGTTACAAAAGTACAAAAGGTTCATGAACCTGAACTTTGTGAAGTCATGACTGTTCTCGTTCGAGAAGCCGCCAGTGCTCTGGGCTCCACTCAGCCAGGGTTTTCTTGTTTGACACTGTTGTTAGTTTACACTAATGTTGTTAACACGCTACCAACTTCAACCTTCATCTACATCGCAGCTTCTTAATTTATTATATCAACCGAAACAACACAGTCATGAGAATATGAATAATCGTGTCCCTTTGTTCTGCAGATTTGTCTAGTGTGGGCGAACTTGTCATAAAACCATCTAGCGGTCCTCCAGCTCTTTTGCTGCAGGCTAACTGTGCCCCAGTTACGTGCAGTGCATGTCGGAACCAGTAAGCAGGCCTTACGGTACACACTTACCGAGTCTGCCTGTCTTGATCCTTCCGCCGCTTCTGGACGTGGCTTCGATAATACGCACATTGCTAAAGCCGTGCTGCATTAACCGCTGTGCAGCGCCGATCCCTGAAATCCCGCATCCGATAATGAGTATTTTCGCATCTACAGCTGGACGGAGAGCCATCGCTTCCTTTCCTCATGTGAAGAGCACCGAGGTGGGGAGAGGGCGACTCTTCTGGCAAGTTATACTTTAACTCGAGCACCGCTGAGAGCAGAGTGCGGGTCAGGGAGCATACAGGGTTAAATGATCACTTACGTAATCTTCCCTAGTCAGCCTTTCACTGTTTAATGAAAGAAGCCATTTGCCTAAATTTGACTGAATGAATTGAATACAAAAGCATACAAAGTTTTTTTTTTTTAATTCCTAGTAATATCGTATAGTTTTAAGCAGTATGACACTAGCAGTACTGCTACTGAGTGCTGATTGGCTAGTATTACTGCTACTGAGTGCTGATTGGTTGGCGAGCTGACTGTCTGACTGAAGCGGTTCGCGCTCCCTGAGGTCATGAACGTACATGAGGCGCTGTTATAAAGTCCTGTACTCGAGTTCAAAAGCGCTCAAAAACATAACAGCAGTGTTATAATGTTTTATGCTGTTCTGTACAGTGTTCTGGAAGTGAATGCATTCATCTGTATAAAAATATATAAGCATTTATAAACTATGATTTTGCTCGACTGCTCCATATTAACCCATTCATTCGCTCCAAAAGTAGCGTTAGACAAATCCAGACGACATTACTGAGCGGCAATGCTCCTTACTACAAATTCTCTGGTATTACCTGGTGTTACTCAGGATGTGTATTATTTTGAAAACTGGAGAAAGAAATAATTCTAGTTCCTGCCAGAAGGGGTCGATATGAGACCATGGGGCGTCACATTTGTACACAAAGCACCACTGAAAGGTGGACAGTACAGGCCAAAATTGACACTTAAAGGGAATTTACTGAGAATTTATGAGATCCCATGTAGACCAATGAATAGTAATAATTTTCAGATATCTAGATTTTTGAGTATTAACGAAGTTAATAAAGGCCCAAGAAGTGCCCTTGTGGATTTCCCCCTCTGCATCTTCTCTAGTGTTTCACTTTTAATACACCAACTGTGTCAGTCATCATACTCACATTCCTCTAGTCCCAGATTTTATTGTGGAACTTTTTCCCCTTTTTAGATAACAACCTTTCTACAAAAAGTGTATTGAAACAGTCAGTTTCAGTTTGAAACAGTTGTGGAAACTGTATATGAAAAAGGCATGTTTGGGTTCTGCATAGCTAACTAAGCAAAGAGACTTGAAGATCCCAGAAATCATGTAGAACTGTTAACCAGAATCCCTTTGCAGTTCAGATGATTTTCAGAATTACATAATAATAATGATAATAATAATAATAATAATAATAATAATAGGATAATGTTGAGATGGGTGAAGGTGGTCATTTTAATGTCTAGCATTATTACTGGAAATTTAAAATTTATTTGTATTTTGTTATGTTCATGCCTGCTATACACGATAATGTTGTGAACATCTCATTACAGACACATGGTGGTGTGACCAATACAGCAGGTCATTGTTGTGGTAAATATCAAACCTCGTGTACTCTCAGTGAAGCCAGTGACCACAGACAACTGTTTCATTTCCCAAGAAAGGATAAGTAAAGCATTGTCCCAAAATAACAATAGCTATGATAAGAGCTCTAGAAGTGCAAATGAGCTGTATGCTTGAGTTTAATTCTAACCAAAAAAAGTGTTTCTATTTTCCTTGAATACAGTTGCGTGCAAAAGTTTGGGCACATAATACACATACACACACACACACACACACACACATCATCTAAACCACCTATCCTTCTGGGTCGTGCTGGGGTGCTGGAGCCTATCCCAGCTGCCACTGGGGGCCACATAATATATTCTGTGTTTTATTTTCCCTAAATAACTCAAATAAATAGAAAATTAATTTTGCACTAAAATATGCAGAAAATGCCATATTTAAGCTGGTTCCCTGTAGAGAATATGTTCAAAAAAATAAAAAAAAATCACCAGGAGTGTCTAAACTTTTGTATGCAACTGTATTTCCCAGAAGATAATCTCATTGCTCAAATATTGGTCTATGATGGCTCAGGAGACTTAATGGTGATTCTCTTACAATTCCTCAGGAGAAATAACATTAAATAAAAAGGAGAGAAGGGATACTTATGGCCCAGATGAAAACGATAATACTTTTCACAGCAGCAAAACAGAGAAGACTCTTGGATGAGAAATGGATGAGTTCATGTTGAGATTCCTGTCTTTAGTTCAGCTGCAGGTAAACAAGAGAATTATTATGTTGACTAATCTGAGCACAATTTGTGACTTTTTAATGAGATCTCTACTAAAATTCAATAGGAGACATATGAGATTAGGGGTCTTTTACTCAGGAGAAATATTTGAGCAGTAGGAGACTAATGAAAACATCTCATTTGTCTTTCCATGATCTCTTGTTTAGGAGAAACTACAGAGATATTAAGGAGATCTTTTTATGTTTCTTTCCTGTGGGTTTCCATTAACGATTAGCAGACTTAATACCAGGTAAAAGTTTTACATGAAAGCCAAAACATATCATTGGCATTCAAATAGTCATATGCAAAAATTTCAAGTGGTCAAATTTATTTTTTTTATGTTTTAAGTGAAGATAAGACTACAGAGAACACACTTCTACATAGTTTAATGCACAATTACTGTTTATTTGCTGAATTTAACATATTTAGGAAAAAAAAAAATAAAACACGGCATGTGCAAAAGTTGTGGCACATTTTATATTTTGTTTTTTCCCCCAATATTGTAAACTAAAATAAATAAATGAAAATTGTCATAGTTCAGTGTGTTCTCTGTAGAGGGTGTATTAACTTATTTTCACTTACAAAATCAACAAAACATATAATTTGGCTGGGGGTGTTTAAACTTTTGCATACAGCTGTACCACACTATAGACTGACCTGAGAATAGTAAAAAAGCAAACACACAGTCCATTTTCCTTAGCTGTGCTACTTCTCTGGGGAAAATAAAGCCAGCTATGGTGCTCGTTTCTCAGGACTCTATTGTGTAACACTGGCACTCAGGCCAGCAGGCACTGATTTCTTGTCTTACACTCAACAAAACAGGCCCTGGAATAAATCGTGGGAACTGGTTCACTCCATAGGTCACTCACAGAACAATGAGAAACTCTGTTGGACTCATTGTGAGCATGCAGGAAACAAAAATGACTGCTTTTTCTTCTCAAGGAAAACAGCCTAGTGATAATGGAGTTAATCATCTCAGAAAACAAAACATGCAGCTAAAAGAGGTATATGACATCAAAGTAAACAGACTGTGTTTTTAAACTGAGATTTAACAGCAAAAGTGTGCAAAATGTGAAAATCAAGAATCTAATTATGTGTTGAAATACAAATTTTCTGTGCATTATGTTTGCTGAATATCTATTGAACGTCTATTTAATATCTTTTGAACAAATGTTTAATGAAAAACTGACCGTCAGAAGTTTCATATGGATAAACAATCATTAAGTGGGCTCACACGTACAGTCTACATATGAAAATTTATTTTATATTCTTAAAAAAAGTTAACAATAGTGTGTTTGACATCATTTCCAGCTAATTACATTCAGTGTAAAACTATAATGATATGTTGTTAATTACAAAGTGTCCCATTCACAGTGTTCTTTTTCAGCTGATTTAGCACATTTGTACAAATCATGCAGGCTCACATAACAGTTTATACAGCCAATACAACAGAATTTACACCTCATAAAATATTACATCCAATGTTATGTTACCTTAACTTCATTGATTTTTTGGATCACTATATGGATGCTCATGTTATCAGTAAGTTAAACTTTCAATCAATTCAACTAACTGCCTGTGGTTAATGTAGCTTGTGTGTACTATGGCACACTATACTTTATGATATAGGGTTTTCTTGCAACAGTGTCAATTGCTTTATTTGTTATTATACATATATTTAATCAGATTGCATTATTTGATTTCCAGCAGAACTCCCACTCACAGAATTCCCACTGCTGTATGAACTGTTTGGGAATGGAATGAGTTTGCAGAAAGGTGCCAAATCAACTGAGAAAAACTGCAAAATGCTTAAATGCCTCATACAGCAGTTTAACAACAGCATTGTGTATCATGCCTGAGTATGTCTTATAAATATATTAATAGAAACATTATTGCATCTGTGTCTTTAGTCAAATAACTCTCTTTAGATCTTCTCACACACTGTCTGTACTCTCAGACAGCTCCTCCAGCTGCTCCAGTATCATTGACCTCAATGCACTGTATCTTTAAAAGAGAGATGAAAGTTATTAAGGCAAACTAAACACATTTGAAATTTCTCTTCATATTGTCCACATGAAAGTAATCAAATCATGTAGTATTAATTATTAATATAGCACATAGATTAATACAAAAAAGAGGCTTATTATAAAAAGGAGTCATTTGAGGATAAAACTATAACAATAACAATATTGTATTTGTGTAATATGACATACTTTCTTGTCAGTTTTAAAATCTCCCTCTCTTCTTCTTCCCTCAACTTTTTGACAAAGCTATCCAAAATAGGCACTTCAAACTTGATGTACTGTGCAACCTGAAAAAAAGACACACTGAAGTTACTGTTTGATTAATTCTGTTACTTATTCCATTTACAGAAATAGTACCCTGTCATATAGTACTACCATTCTAATTTTCAAGAGGGAGGCCTGTCTCATTGTTAAATCCCCCAAACAGGAAAGTGATACAAACTAAAATTAGGCCTGACAAGAAGACATAACATCTATAGATACGGCATCTGTTTTCTGTTTACTGTGCCAAATAGTGAGCGCTACTCAAAACATGTCAGCAATTGTGTTTTTTCTTCCAGAGGCAGAAAGACTCACATCATGTGTAACCTCTTCTCCTAGATCACTTTCCATAATGAAAATCTTGGCAATTTTTTCACATGGGCCATGCAGCACACGCGATACCAACGGATATTCAGTGTCTTTAAGCTTTGTCCTCTCTGAAGAAAAAAAAACATTCATAAACACACCACAGTGATAGTAATAACAAGTCAAAAGTCGCGAAGAGAAAAAGCACATAAAGCTACCTCCTGACTCGTGGACGACATAGAGGGCAAATTCATCAATGTTATTCTCAACCTGTAGGAGTATGATAAAAAAAATATTAGCTGAGAACAATGAGAGCCCATTTAGTTATGTGAATCATGGTTACAGTGTTACTTACCCGAAATTTATGAAGTAACAGACTGAGGACTTGCTGTGTTGTCATTTTGCTGTTCACACGAACATTAGTCACTGATCCATATGCTGGGGTGAAGACTGATGTCTGTGAAAGCAATAAATCACAATAAATTACTAAAGTTACTATTGTCTCTAGATACTATTTTGGAGAGACTCCTTCTTTCCAATTTGCATTTCATTATTATATTTGAACAATGTGTGCTATATTACATGTAGTGGTGAAGATGTGTACCCACAACAACTCCTCCAAACCCTAACCATCCCCCCAAAAGAGGGAAAAAACAGACAGCAATACACAAGCTGCACCCCAAAATGACTGTTATTTATATAATATACTGTACTGTACCAAAGTCAGAGACCACCCTTTCAAATAGCCATTCAGTAAATTAAATATATATTACTTTAAATATCTGACACGTTATTCATTTTTCAGCATCAGGGAAAAAAAAAACAGAAAACATATTTAACAGAAAATTACACAGAACCCTCAACAACATATAATACCCTTTTTTCAGTATGTAGTCCTTTGCCTTTATTACAGCTTCCATTCTTTTCAGGAGACTTGCTTTCAGTTTTTAAAGAAATCTGCAGATGTTTTTTCACACTTCTAAAGTTAAGTCTTAGAAGTTGGTCGCATTTTCTCTTTCTCATGATCCAAACATGATCCAAACAATCCCAAACACATTCAGTGATGCTGAGGTCTGGACTCTGGGGTGGTCAGTCCATTGTTCTGAGAAAACCAGCGGCTTCTTTGTTTGATTTGCAAATTTTCTTCTCTTTTGTCTATTTTCTTTTCTTAGTAACAGCTTCTTGACAGCTATACATCCTTTCATACCCATAGTGCTGAGTGCCTGATTGTTTTCTTATTTATATGTTGTTGTTTTTTTTTAAAGTGGCAGCTGAGTGCACAAAAGTAAAGTAAATACTGATATGATTTGATATTATAATTAATGTTGGAGGCTTCGGTGTAATTTTCAGTTAAAATTCTTGCTTCTTGTAAATTTTTCCTGCATTTTTCCTAAAGCTGAAAACTGAATAACTTAATGGACATTTTGAATGGAAAGTAAATGAAATAAAACTATTTTTTGCACGATACTGTATATTATTGCTTAAATATTGAATAACGACGCATTATTCAGTAACTACAGGAACTTCAATGCAAACTGGCCGAGCTATTTACAGAAGAAGAGAAATAAAGTAAAACAACCAGACTACAGTATATCTACAGTACATATTTATTATTATCATTCATTTAGACTTTTAATATTTTAAATAATCTTCACTGTTTACATTCATTTACCAGATAAAAAGATTTCTATTAGAGAACTCCATTCTGAACCTACACATAGTATGCTTTTACTACTTCTCTGAAGTGGAAAATGAAAAAAGATATATGCAAGGTTAAGAAAATGAACCTGCAGGGTCTTATGTTCTTCTACATTTCCAAGTTGGCATGTCTTGGCACTCGTGAGGGTATCAAAGTAAGCAGATGTTCATGTGACAAAAAACATTTCCTTTGCATTTGTTTACATTAAGGCTCTGGAGGGTAGCATACCCATCACCACCCACCCCTGAGACAAAGCAATTAAACAGCAAGTTTCCCTTCCAGTTTCTCCACATCTGCAGAAAGACCTTTTTGACCAGGCTGATCCATAACCTTGAGGAGCGTTGATGAGAAGAGCAGGTGACGGGCCATTGTGGAGAGTGGTGCTTCTGCCAGGGGAACGCCTGCACAGGAAGAGCACTGCCTCTCAACACCTGCATCCATCTTACAACGCTCTGACCCGCAGGACACTCGCACAACGGACACTTCCCCTCACACATGCTGCTACAGCCATTAGCGAGAGCTCCAGGGCCCTCTGCCAGTCACAGGGCATGACAGCACTTCATGAAGTGCTATTGTCCAGAAGACAATCTGTACTCATCTCTGCCCAGTGACTCAAGATCTTCCTTTACACTCAAATAATAGTGCCAAAAAAGCTTATTTGGAGCAATACCACAGAAGAAGCTCTTTTTGTTCCTGAAAGAAACTTTCAATGGATTGTTCTTCAATAAAACCATTTGGTAACACTTCATAACATTAGGCTCCTATGAATACATTAATAATAACTAATAATTTGTCAATGATAGGTAATGATTTTTAACAGTTACTTGTGCATTAATATGTGCTACCATTTGAATTATTAAGCATTTATGTTGTGATATACAAATAATTGAAGCACTGTAATCATTTCACAAATGTATTTATATTGTAATAAATGAGCGCTTGCAACGTGAAACAGTACATGTGACTTTTTGTAAAAATATAAAATGGTATGGCATTGTTTGATGCCCTGTATTTAAAATAAAAGGGTCACTAAAATGTAAATAAAGCATAGTTAGGCTCTTTAATGTAAAAGTGTACAAAATAAAATAGAAAATAAAATAACTGATAATCCAAAAAATGGAATGGCTAAAATGTTTTTGTTTTTTTTTTTGTTGGAGGGGCTCAATTTACGCCTTACATTATAAGGTCACATCTATACACCGATGAGCTAAAACATTACCACTCACAGATGTTGCGAATAACATTGAAAGTCTCATAACAACAACAACACATGTGAAGGTCTGGGATATATTAGACGGTAAACAAACAGCTGGTTCTCGTAGTCGAAGTGTTAGATTTGGGAGAAATGCAAAGGCATGAAGACCTGGGCGACTTTGATATGAGCCAAATAGTTATGGCCAGACAACTGGGTTGGAGCATCTCCAAAACAGCTAGGCTTGTGGGGTGTTCCCGGTGAGCAGTGGTGAGAACCTACTGACAGTGGTCCGAGGAGGTGCAAGCATGCCCAAGTGTCAGGCACCCAAGGCTCACTGATGCAAGAGGGCAACAGAGGCTATGCTGTCTGGTTCGAATCCACAGAATGGCTACCCAGTCATAGAAATATGTTAATGATAGATACAGGAGGAATGTGTCACAACACGCAGTGCACCATGTTGCATATGAGGCTACGTAGCTGCAGGCCAGTCAGAGTACCCATTCTAACCCCTGTCCACTGCTGAAAGCACCTACAATAGGTACGCAACCGATGCAATTGGACCTTGGAGCAATGGAAGAAGGCTGCCTGGCCCGATGAGTCCTGATTTCTTTTACATCACGTGGATGGCCAGGAAGGCGTGCACCGTTTATCTGGAGATGGGATGGCACCAGAATGCACCGTGGGAAGAAGTCAAGCCGGAGGGAATGTGGAGGGAATGTGATGCTCCAGGAAACTCTGGGTCCAGGAATTCATGTAGCCATCAGTTTGACCTGTGCCACCTATCTAAACACGGTTGCGGACCAGGTAGACCTCTTCATGGCAATGGTATTCCCCGATGGCAGTGGCCTCTTTCAGCAGGATAATACACCCTGCCACAATGCACAAATTGTTTGGGAATGGTTTGAGGAACATGAAGTTCAAGGTGTTGCCCTGGCCTCCAAATTCCCCAGATCTCAATCCGATCAAGCATCTGTGGGACGTGCCGGAACAAGAAGTTCAATCCACAGTGGCTCCGGTTTGCAACTTTCAGGACTTAAAGGATCTGCTGTTAACATCTTGGTGATTGATACTCCTGGGCACCTTCAGAGGTCATGAAGAATCCATACATCAGCAGGTCAGAACTGTTTTGGCAGCACATGGAGGACCAACAGCATATTAGGCTGCGAGTTATAATGTTTTGACCACATTAGTGTATAATAGAGGTCCAAATTATGATTATTAAAGTATATTTTCACCAGTTAATAATGATTAAGCAAGCTTTAAGGAAATGCATATGCATCACAAAGTAATGCAACCGTCTAAGCGTTGGCCCTATCTTCAGGAGATCGCGAGTTCGATCCCTGGTGATGCTACAGCCATCCGTAGCCGGGAGTCCGAGAGAGCACAATTGGCCTCGCTCTCTCTGGGTGGGTGGGATGGCCCCTCCTTCTCCCCCCATCACTCAGCGCGATGCTAGTCAGCGCAGGTGTCTGTTAGCTGACGTAACAGATCTGGCGGTCGGCGCTTTCCTCCGAGCGCGTTTGGCTGTCCAGTGACGTTGCGTGAGCGGCAGTTCGAAAAGAAGCGGTGGCGCTTCACAGGTCTCGGAGGAAGCCCTGTGTTAGCCTTCACCCTCCTAGTGTTGATAGCATCGTGTGATTGGGGGAGTCCTAACTAGCGGGTGGAATTGGAGACGACTAAATTGGGGAGAAAATCGGGTAAAAATTAAAAAAAAAACAAACAAACACAGGACAATTCATTCATTATGAATTGATTTTATGAACAATTAATATGACAACAATTAACAATAAGTTTTGTAATTTATGAGCCAGGAGTATAACCTATAACCTATAAACCTGTTACTTATTAAGTTTCAACAAATACAAAAAATAATAACTGATATGTAAGTAAATGGTTCATTCTAAATTCAAACAGTACCATTTATTAATGTATTTTTAACTATTATATAAATATTAACAGTCATTAATAAATGATTAGATAATGATTAAGGTTCGGTTTATTAGGGCCTGCTATTATAAAGTGTTACCAACTACATCCCGTCTCTGGGTTATTTCAGAATAGTGACACTTACTTGGATACTTATTTGGAAGATGTAATAACAGTCTGATAAAAATATCACCTTGTGGTTGTAAAAATGGCCATTTATGGAGAAGCGATGTCTTCTAACCCGCTGTAAATCTCCTGCGCTGCGCATTTTGGATCTCCTCTGAATGTTCATGAAGCTGGCGTCACTTCTTGTTCTCAGTAGTTGAGGGGCTTCCTCCTCAGAGCCAAGGCTATCCACACCTGCAGAGGACAGACCATTAGCAGTGGATACATAAGAAGTAGTAGAGGAAACTGGAAACATTTTAAGGGAATCTCTGTTGATTTCTGCCATGTCTCATTATAGAACACTCACAGTAGTAATAGTAGTAGTCTTATGCAAAATTTAGCAACACAAATATTCCCACCCTGATACTATCTAATGTTCCAGGATAATGCAAACAAAGCAGGTAGTATAAACACTGCTCTGCGAGAACAGTTGCTAGGGTGTGTAGACTGTGCTGTAAAAGTTCTCTCATGGGGAAAAAATTACTAGAAAAAAATATGGTAAAAACAAACAATACAATTAAAAACTGTTTAAAGTCAGACCTAGTGAGAGGTTTATGTACAAATATACTCATTAATCATCATTTTTTGTGGAAACTGCACATGGCAACTTCTAATCCCTGTAATTAGATTATCCATGTAAGATTATTACACATACATGTGACAAAAGGATTTCACAGCAGCCCATTCACATGCAAACTAGTACTGAATAAATCCTTTTGTTATTGTTAGTTGTATACAGAGAGCACAATGTAACAGCAATATCATTTCAGTACTTACTGGTTAACGCAGGTACTGTAACTTTGTTGTTGTTGGACTCACATGAGAACTGACTTGGACTTTCTTGGCTGTTTTCATTCCTGTCAACAGGTGAATAAGATTGATTTCACTATGAATCCATCAACTCAACTCTGTTTCATCCATTCTTCATGTTTGGCCATACAATCTTCCAAGACTGACATCTACATTTATATATAAATATGTATAGCACAAAAAAGCTACATAAATTGCATCATCTACATAAATCTTTGGCATTTTGTAAATGGTTATTGGCCTGAACATATGGTTACAGGTTAAACATCTTAATTGGTATAGAACCTTGAAATTATGTGGATGGTCTTTAAAGGGTCCATATCATTAAAAAAAATATTTTTCCTTACTTTATTAAAATAAAAGGGCATGTACACACTTTTAAATGCTTCAACATCTACCATTCTCTTCCCAGTTCATACAGTCCATATATAGGAAACTAAACTGTGAACATTTAAAATTCACTGTTTTTGTGATGTCATGAAAACCAACACATTTACATATATCAACCTATTCAGCATAAAGCAGTTTAGCTCTGCCCATTTATGTTGAAGTTATAAGAAGTGTTTCAGCCTGCTTTTTGAATGAGGCACAAGCCAAGGCAGCCAATCAGAACAGAGCTCATTTACATATTTCAGTCACAGTAATAAAAACTTAAAGGGTAAAACATAAAATGCAAGAAACGTTTAGGATACTGGCCCTTAAGACTTGTCATACTTCTGAGGCATCACTCCAAAGAACCCTTTTTGTCATCTTTTTTTTGAAGACTAACATAATCTGCTTTAGTAGCCTTGTTATAGCTATGTCTTGAAACTCTACTCCTCTCTAATGCAGGGTCTCTGGAGTCTTGTACTTATGCTTACTGAGGCTTAATATTTCCATGAGTGAAGAGGATGCTACACGTGCGGCAGAGCACGGAGGTGGCTGAGCTCTTGATCAGCCCTTTCCTCTTGCAGTGAGAGTAGAACAACACAAAACACACGTACACTCACCAAACAGATGCCAGGAAAAGCCCCCCACAGCGCAATGCTCCAATAACCGTGTGGTCTATTTTAAGCTATTATCACACTGGAAAAAATGCTAAGTTTTTATTAGCTGCGTGCACATCTGCACGCTTGCATTCACAGATCATGGACTGACAGAGTTCCCTTTGAACATACACGAATGAGAAATCTATGGTTGGAAAAAGACTAAACAAAAAAAAAAAATAACTCCAAAACGGGGTGTCCCTAAAAGCGATTGGTCAAATTCACATATACTGCACTAGCAAAAAAGGGTTCTTTGGGTGACTGCGGTTCCATTTGTGTCTCACTGGTATTACATTCACCAATATATACATATATATATGTAAAGTAAATAGAAAAAATATTTAAAACATGGACAGTGTCCTTCATAGAACAGCCTATATGCATATTTCAGATAAAGGATTAATAAAAACTCCCTACAGCACTTGGAAAATAGTTTTTGCCTGTTCCAGCCCGCAATAACTACAATTTACATTGAAATACTGTATAATCATTAAAATACATCAAAAATCTTTTGGAGTTAGTATGTTAATAACTTAACATATACTCTCTCTCAATGGAAAGTTATGTTATCAAAATCTCCATGAGATCACAGGAAGAAGAACAGCTCTATTATTCTTTTTTTATTTCTTTATTTTCAGTGATATCGTGATTTTGACTGATGAGGTCACTTTGAAAGTACAATCCTGTTAACCAAATTACAGACTAGAAGTAAATTACTGATTTAAAAAAATGTAAGTAAATTAATAGAACGTCCTTACTGTCCTCATTCCATTAGCTTGGATACCAGTTCACCACATGTTGTGTATTTGCTAATTTCATGATTTTAGTAAAGAAATCTTGTAAACATTAGCTATATGATGATATATGATATGATGATGGATATAGATGGATTAACACATTTTTGAATGCTCAAATGCATGTTTTCTTATATTAAATATTAAACAAAAATATTACAAAATAATATTTGATTTTTAAGAGCTACAAGATTATATGAATTGTAACAATAGTGAAAACATTTTTCATGCTGTAAATATATTTTAAATGTTCTTTAAAAGAACACATACAACAGATTTTACACTGTTATACACAATAATGATAATAATAATAACAATAATAATAATAATAATAATAATAACAAGAAGAAGAAGAAGAAGAAGAAGAGGAAGTAGAAGCTGACACATACACATACTCATTTTTTTCTTTATATATGCAACTGTAGTATAATTAGAAAAAAATATTCACTGCAGATTCACTATTTTACTGCAAAGAACCATCTAAGTCAAAAAGTTCTTTGAGTGGTCATATTTTATTCTTGAAGAGCTCCTTTTGTAAGAGTATAGTTTACTTTTCTTACTGACTAATGTATCTAATGTGAAAGGTGACAAGTGATGAGAGAAACTTAACGCCTTAAATACATAAAAAAACAATGAAACAATGAGTCCCACCTGTAACAAATCTGTTATATGTATTAAGATGACTAACACAGTGAGACGATGATAAGAGTGAAAGATGGGGAATTACTTTCATGAAGGCCAAAGGTAAAAATGGGTGGCGCAGCTCAGCACAGCTAAGTTTGACCCACCCACCTGTTCGAGCCTGTGTTCTCCGACCTCCATGTTTCTGCACATGCAAAGTGGAACCGCTCATTATCATCCTGCATTTGCAGTCTGATTGGCCTCTTCAGGCCCCAGGAGATGTTGAGTAAACCCTCCACGATCAACTCGCCCTCTTCCTGCAGCCATACAAGAAATAATAATAATAATAATCGTTAATTCTTCTATCAAGTGGAGGAAATCCTGTTGGCTTGTGTCCACCCTAGCTCTGTTTCAAGTCTACGTGCTAGAACACAGTTACAGGCCCCACTCTTCTGCTTTGAGACACTGCAGCAATGGAAAGTCACATTGGGTGGTGTTCCCCGAAGACGACCTGCTTTAGGTCATGTCTTAGAGTGTGAGCTTGAGTCATGCTGTGGCCTCCACAGAGCTGTGCGGGGTCACGTAGACATTCCTTTGTGAATGTGAAACCTGGAGGATGAATTCTGCATTCATGGATTCTTCTAAATACACAAGGGTGACATTCCTGATGCTTTTCCCAGTCAAGATCAACACATGACTGGCTTCACGTTTAATACAGAACAGGTTTTAAAGACCTTTTTTTGTTTTGAAAGCCATTAAAAGGCCAGTACCTTAATATGATTCACAACTTTAAACATACTTTAGCTTTTCTCTAGTTTTATTTATTCTATCATTACATTTTTATTTATTATTATTCTATTATTATTCTATTATTTAATTATCTTATAATATGAGAACTCTATATTTTTGCCTCATACTTATGTATTTACTTATTATTTTTCAAATTATTTATTTTTCAAATTATATTTTTGTTATTTTTCTATCTTCTCTATTTTCTATTTCTTTTGTTATGCTGTTTATATTGAGCTTCCTTGTTGTAAAGCAATTTGAGCTGCAATCTAATATCTAAATCTATTCTAAATGAAGTTTATTATTATCAAAATGTCATGATATACTGTTACACCAGTATAATAATAATAAAATAACTCCTAGGCCCATCTGAAAAGTACTCAGTGTTAAGACTGCTTCTGTATCTCCTTCAACAGTGACACTGTCACAACATTTTGCAACAGTTTTTTCACAGTTCAAACTTCTGCTTTTCACTTTGCTTGTCTTATAGGGTCATTTCAGGCCCTATACACTCACGTTAAAAAGTCAAGTGTGGTACAGGAGTGCCTAAAGAGAGAAACACGTGCCAAATGAGCCCAAGTCTAATCCTATCAGGAATGGATAAGACTCTTCCGTTCCCATGCACAACACCATCTGAATGCTGCGCTTCACATGACCAAAACTGCAACGCTGACCTGGACAGATTAAGACACAGCACTAAAAATAGCTTAATGTGTAAGATGTCATTGTTCTGAATCCTGTTTAGCAACTCTAAAGATAACGGCTAACGGTTGTAACCTGTTTTGAACCTTGAGTTTTATCTCGATCAGATAACATTTGGATGTTAAACCTGTGAACGACTAATGTAGTTTCAATTTAGCTGAAAGAACACGTCTTCCAGCCAGCACCCCATCTGAGAAAAAATATAGTAAATAACTAGAACATAAATTGGCTCAGATAAATTTTATGTTAACAGGACTTTTCACATTGGTTACAAAGGCTCTGTTCTGTTTAAGCTTATAATTTGCCCGTTGAACAAAAATTTACATAATTTATTTTCTCCACTAACACTCCAGACATATAATTTAGTTATTAGATTTAAGGCTTAGCGTTATATTCTCAGCTGAAACAACATTCTGCATGTGTGTATTTACAAGACTGAAGAACGAGAATCTGGACCCACTAGCAGGTCCTTGGAGTTTATGGGGTTAATCGATGATACAAAAGCAATCAACTTCATTATTAACCCAATACATAGAAAGAAAATGTGAACAAAAACAAGAGTTTCCAAAACTGTAGTTCAAGAAATGATTAAACAAATATAGAGAAAATGCGACCCTTTACAGCCAGACCACAAAAAACTGCCACCAACAGATAAACAGTGCTTGAGGCTTTCACCTTTCACAGATGTGACAAAATCAAGCTCCAGTCTTGCTTCATATCTGAAAGATTGTACAGTTGTCAAGATGCCACTGAGAAAAGGAAATAGATTAAAAAAGAAAAGAACATTTACGCAAGAACACTGGTCTAATGTTTTATGTGGAGTCTAAATTTGTAATTTCTTGGTACATGAGAAGCAGAAAATGCAACCAAATTCTAATAACGAACTTTGCAGGTGTGGAAACTTATCCCTACAGATTTCTTTAAAAACTGAAAGCAAGTCTTCTGAAATAATGGAAGCTATAATAAGGCAAAGGGTGGTCACACTAAATACTGAAAAAATGGTATTATATTTAGTCATGAATAAATATGTTTCTGCTTTTTTTCCTGATGTTGAAAAATGAATAACTCATACTTAATGGCTGTTTTGACTGGGAATGAAAATAAGTTAAGGGTGGTCTCTTGGTCTCTATTTTTACACAGTTTTTACATGTACAAGAATGCTCAGTTGAGAATATAACCTTAAACTCTCAGGACAAAAAGCTACAAAACAGTCACTGGGGTTGTGCTCTCAAGGGTACGTCTTCAGTACCTTTAGTTAGGGAACATCATTGTACCATAATCCATTGCAATTATATTTTTTTAAGTCATACAGCTGCACAGTACCTTTTTCTGACAGTGTAGTATAACTAAGAAGTACAAAGTAAACTACAGACTATAACATATAAATTGCCTGTGCTATTACAGCTCAGAACAAGTCCACATGCAGGAAATCAATAGCTATAGTTCTTTGTAGCTCTTTTAGGAATGACCTCACAAAGCTAAATGTAGCTGTAACGTAGATGGTGATATATCAGACTTATAATTTCAGAAATAATCACTCAACAGTGTGATCATAACACAGATGACTGAGGAGCTGAAACTATCCAAGATCTTGACCAAATGGATCCCTGAGGGTCTACAAGCTCATAAGAGAATGAGGCAGTTGATGTGTTGCTGGCAGTAGACTCTCCTGTGTGGGCTAGGTGGAGGGCTTGAGTGCTCCCAGGGCCTCATTGTTTCTGAAATGTAAACAATGAGGGCAGCTGCAGCAGTGAACCGTGGTCAGCTGCCACGCCACAGCTTCCTCCACCCTCTTGGCCCAGCACACACACACTTCCTCCAGAGAGAGCGAGGTCAGCAGGCAGCTAAATTTAGTGCCATGAGCCTTGGCTTACACCCAGCAGCAGTATAAAAGGCAGTGCTTGAGCCTGTAGAGCAGATTAGAACCAGCTCACAGACTGAGAGCAAGCAGCAGCTACGACTGACAGCAAGAAAGCTTCAGCACTACATCACCTCTCACGCAACTCAACACATAACATCAGACAATAACAGGTGAGTTCTTGATTTAACCTTTCTGTAGAACAGGGATCTTCCATGTTTTTGTTCTTTAGAACTTTTATGCCACATGAAAGTTTCACATGTTCTATATGTGTCATTAAGTGCTTCTTGCTTATGCTCCTCAACAATGAAAACAAAAGAGAATGCAAAGATAACTAAACCTGAATCTCCTTCAATCTTTCTCCAGCATGAAGCCCAGAAGACTGCTCTTGTCCATCGCTCCTCTGCCCACCATAACTGAGACATATGAAGATGCCTCTCAGGTGGGATGCCAAACCAGCCCTTCACAATCTCTGGAGGACTATGTCAACTCCATTAAAGAGCTGGCCCAGCCGGCCTGTGGCCCAGTGAGGGTAGCACGGACTCCGAGGCCTCGCATGTTCTCCAAGCCTCTGGGCAAACACTCAGCCACCAGCTCACCCCGCTGCTCCTCCAGGACCCCACGGACTCGTACCACTTCACTGGGCTTGGACGAGCTCACACATCGCTTTAGCAGTCAGAAAGACTCGTGTAGTAGGGACCCGCTGGACTGGCTCTTTGCACAGACGCAAGACGATCTGCACAGGACTGATGGTGCACCGGCTGCTTTGAGGTTAATCTAATAACCTGCAGCCATAAAAGCAGACACACTGCAATGGAGCTAATGTGTTACTGTGGACTGAGGAACCAAACCAGGATGATGTGACCTGGAATAATAATATAATAATAATAATAATAACTTAATTTATTTGTTTGATCAGGGACTTTGGCCCCTGTGTGCTTATGTTTACACTCTGAAGATCTTTTTTCTATTCCTTTTTTTAAAATAAAATACAAAACATTTTGGAATCTTGGTCTTTCTTATTTCTCATTTATGGGTTTTGTAAGCAAATCAATCAAGCAATCAAGCAATCAAAGCTTAATGTGGAACTAAATTTATTTAAGGTTAGATCAAAATTTGTAAATGGCCCAGGTTAATAACATACAGTGAAGAATTATTCTATCTATCAACTGGTCTAACATTATTATTGTAAGATTTTTAAGCAGGAAAGTGTAAAACTTAATAGGCAAAATAAGAGGCACAATAATAAGAGTAATCTGTGTCTCTAACTAAAGTCCACACATTCTTTATTTTAACTCATACATGTCAATGATTTACAAAATTATTCTGTAGGTATTGATTAAATTATTATATATGCTTGATTCTCAAGCACTGCGAATACCTGAGCACTGTGTGTCATTCTATACATTAATATTAGTCTCAGATAATACATATCTGTGGCTGATCAGTTGTTTTCATGTGATGGCAACAGCATAAAAAAATGCTTTCTATATATTATTTGAAAGCATTAAACTACACAATTCGTGAGTAGCTGAAAAACAAAGTTCCTTCACCGCTTCCCACCTGTCCTCATAGCCTTACTCACTAGAAGCATACACCCTCTGACACCCATCAAGTTAATGACCATCTTGACCAGTTAGATCAAGTGAATGCTGAAAGAAAGCAGAAGCTTTATAATAGCATATGTAAAGCAATCTATAAAAATAACAGTGGGCAATATGGCAAAAATACTCCATCACAATACTTCAAATATCTTCATGATACACAATATGCATCACAATATCTAGTTTTTTGAGGTTTGTTAAGTTGGAACTGACAAAAAGAACCAGCAGTGTTCTCTTTGAATGTAACAAACAATAGGAATGTAATAAATAGTGTGAATACTATTTCACATTTTCATATTTTACATTTAAGTCAAATGTTTCCCATACTACACTGCACTAAATCCAATTAAACAGAACTAATTATGCTCTCTCTGTAATGAAACAGGCATTGTTCATAAAAGTTGATAATATGCAGGATAAGCTCAGAAAAGCCTGTTGCGATATAATTTATCACAATACTGATTAGTGTTATTGTAATGTCACCCCTACATAAAAAGTATTTAAAATGTGTGGTTATCATGTCCAGGGTTGCCTAATATGGAAAAAACATATTTTATTTTCATACAGTGGGGTCCAAAAGTCAGAAACCACCAGGGAAAATGCTTCATTCCATTCCATTCTAATTTAATAGAAAGACTTTGCTTAAAAATCTATTATCAGCATAACAATTTGAATGAAAAGTAGAATCTTAGAATTTTAATGTGAATTTTAGAATTTCTTATGCATGAATTTCCTAATTTCTAATGCACTCAAGCTGGCAAGGACTCGAGCTGGCATGGACTCATAAGTTTATGCAAAAGCCTTTGATGACTAGATCAAATCCTCCTGAGAGTCCTCTTAAAAGGAGCTTCAGTGGAAGAGAAAAGACTGGAAAATCTGAGGCCTCAACATAGTCAGTGTCACAAATTTGCTTAAATGTGCACAGTGGCATAGAAGAAGTACAGAATCTTGAATTTTTCCTCTTCCTTTCACTTGCCATACCTTTTCTTTGTTTTTTTTTTTCCCAGATTTTCAATGTGGTCTCACACTTTTGGACCCCACTGTAGATGTAATGTAAACTGTATAAATAGAAATATGTATGAATATTTAAATGTGTATCACATATTTTGTCAGATGGTATGAATTTTTAGAACAGAAATTTTAGAAATAGGGAACAGAAATAGATATTGGAAATCATCCTGATTACAAGTGTTATTTTGCCCTCTGTTTATATATGCATAGTCTGCTCAATTCAATGTTTTCATGCTTTGGCAGTCTGATTTTCAACTTCAAGCCTAAGTCTCGCCACATTCTCTGGTGTGAACCAGGAGCTCTCTGCTGGTTAAAAGTCCACACAGCAGCTTGTAATTTAAACTTGTTAACCCCCCAACAGAGGGCGCTGCAGTCTTGTCAGTGCTGTGCCCTTCAGCTCCTGAAACAATTTGACCCTTCATAGGCCTAGGAGGCAGTTGAATGAAACTTCCTTTTCTATTTGCTTTCCTTGTTCTTGCCTGATCTGAAGCCCACAGACTCACAAAAAATATAGGCACAGCTGACTAGTATGTGGATCCCCATGACTTTGTTCAACGTTTCCAAATTAAAATCTAAACAATAGGGATGCAATTGTTAATTAAAATACTGGATGAAATAGAACTTTTCCTTAATTAACAGTGAATCAGTGCAATGTTGCTCTGGATATAGTTTGCATTTAGGAGTCTGGCCTTTTGCATTTTTGCTGCCTTTAAGAGCTTGGCCTTTTCAGAAGAACATTTTTTGCTATGCTAGTAGACATTTCTGTATTCTGAAAAAGTATGCCTTACGAGCAGACCCACCCAAAGAAAAATTTCACTAAACCAAAAAGTAACAAACAGATCAGTGCACATGCTCTGTCTAATTACTAAAGGCCTCCAGGTAGAAAAGAAAGCTTTACAGTACTCGTCAGGACAAGCCAAATACACGTTCTCAAAGTAGCATGAATCACCTGTACTAATGTCATTTTCCTTTATGAAATGTGCTTAGATCAAGAGCCAATCTGAACACTTCTTACAGTCTAATTGCCGTTAACCATGGCCTCTACTTTGGTGACAGCCAGTTTTTTACCTCTGAAGTGATAATTAGATCGTGTATAGAATTCTCATTATTCTATTCTAAGATATCTATTATTCTTTTACAAAATATTTTTTTGAAAATTTCATTTTCTAGCTTTCTAATTTTCTGCTAATCAGATTTAAGACTTCTTTCACATATATTACCTCTGCCAGGAATAAGTGATGCAGGCAACTGATGCAGTTTGCACATGCTGGCCATTCATTCATCAAAAAGGTAGCATCTGTGACAGAGGCCTTGGGCTTTTGTTATGCATACTTAAGTTTTTAGGTAGTTACTGAGCAAAACTGCGCTTGATGTGAATCAACTGAATGAGTTGGAACTGGCAGTGACTTTTGGTGTAACCTCTTTCTGCAGGCCGCCTAGTGGCCATACTGCCATTGGACAGAAAATCACCTCAATTTTCAATACATAAAATTAAATAAAAAATTGTCCTCAATAATATATCAATATCAAAGATAGTGTGCAGCACAATAGAAAACAGCATTTAAACGCAATAAAAACCTTTAAAAGATAAAAAAAAAAAAGCGTTCTTCTATTGTTACAAGTTTGACATTGTAACAATAGAAGAACCCTATATGTACAACCATGTACAACACATTCTCCATCAATCTGAAGAAAGATTTTATGATGCCAAAAAGCCTTTAAGAATGCAAATGGTTCTTTGAGTGTTCATGGTTCTATATAGACCCACTGTCTTTACTAAAGAACTCTTGAAGAACCATCTTTTTTTAAGAGTGTAAGCTGAATCCCTGTCTGGGAAACTGACCCAAAAAGTTTCAAAGGTAAGAAGCCAATATGATACAGGCCCACAGAAGCTTGGCAATTAATTAAAATAAACCTGTAGGGATCTTCAGAGCTAAGTAGGGATCTTCAGAGCTAAGAGGGATCTTCAGAGCTAAGTCGTCGGGAGCAACATGCTCCTGGTAGGGTCTCCCAGGGCGAACAGGTCTGGAGTGAAGACCCAGACTAACTCGATCCAAAAACCTCCATGAAAAACGGGCATAGAACATCGTGTACCCTGCCCGGGAGAGGGTCACCGGGACCTACCCCTGGAGCCAGGCCTGGGGGTAGCGTCCCTCGGCGAGCGCCTGGTGGCCGGGCAGCCCACGTAACCCGGCCGGGCTCAGCCCGAAGAGGCAACGTGGGGGGACCATGTGGGCCCACCACCCGCAAGGTCCAGCATGGGGGAGTGGTGCAGTGCCGTACAGGCAGTGGGAGATTGCAGGGGGGCCCTGGGTGGCCTAGCCCCCTGCGGCAGAAACTGGCTCTTGGTACGTGGAATGTAACCTCACTGGGGGGGAAGGAGCCGGAGCTTGTGCGGGAGGTTGAGAGGTACCAACTAGATATAGTTGGGCTCACCTCCACCCACAGTATCGGCTCTGGAACCAAACTCCTGGATAGGGGTTGGTCCCTCTCCTACTCCGGGGTTGCACAAGGTGAGAGGCGCCGGGCGGGTGTGGGGATACTCACGAGTCCCCGGCTGGCGGCAGTACAGTTGGAGTTTGTCCCGGTGGACGAGAGGGTCGCCTCAATGCGTATTAAAATCGCAGAGAGGAAAACTCTGACTGTTGTGTGTGCTTATGCACCAAACAACAGGTCGGAGTATTCGGCCTTCTTGGAGCAAGTGGGCGGGGTTCTGGAAAGGGTCCCGACTACAGACTCCATAGTCTTACTGGGAGACTTCAATGCTCATGTTGGCAATGACTGGGAGACCTGGAGAGGCGTGATTGGGAAGAACGGCCTGCCCGATCTAAACCCGAATGGTGAATTGTTATTGGACTTCTGTGCCAGGCATGGATTGTCCATAACGAACACCAAGTTCGAACACAAGGATGTTCATAAGTGTACATGGTACCAGAGCTCCTTGGGTCAAAGGTCAATGATCGACTTTGTTGTCGTTTCATCTGACTTGGGACCATATGTTCTGGACACTCGGGTGAAGAGAGGTGCTGAGCTGTCAACTGATCACCATCTGGTGGTGAGTTGGATCAGATGGCAGGGAAGACTGAGGGTTAGACCCGGTAGGCCCAAGCGAATAGTGAGGGTGTGCTGGGAACGACTGTCGGAGGCCCCTGTTCGGAATGATTTTAACTCCCACCTCCGGGAGAGCTTTTCTCATGTCCCGGAGGAGGTAGGGGACATAGAGTCTGAATGGACCCTGTTCAAAACCTCCATTGTGGAAGCTGCCAGGCGCAGCTGTGGCCAAAAGCTTGTTGGTGCCTGTCATGGCGGTAACCCAAGAACCCCCTGGTGGACACCGGTGGTGAGGGAGGCCGTCAAGCTGAAGAAAGAGGCCTTTAGGGACTGGATGGCCC